TTGTAAGCATATGACTTCATAAATGCTCACATTCCGACTTAATATAAGAGGGGCATGAATTTGGAGATCTGTCTTATATAACACCTAACTTAATCAAATGCTTAATTTCAAGAAAAAAAGTGGCAATGACGTAGAGCAGTGGTTCTCAACTTGTGGGTGGCAACTCCTTAGGGGGTGCCCAAGAACCCTTTTGTAGGGGTCGCATATCAGATATTCTACATATTAGAGATTTACATTATGATCCAGAACAGCAGCAAAATTACAGTTATGAGGTAGTAACAAGAATGATTTTATGGTTGGGGGGTCACCACAACCTGAGGGGTTGTACTGAATAAAGGGTTACAGTGTTAGGAAGGTAATCAGCTGCTGATGTACAGAATCTGACAGGATGTGACATTAGTATGGAACATTCCACTGTCATCCCAGGGAATCAAATGCTTTTGGGGAGTCACCACGCAAGGTAATTCTGATGCAAAACCAGCCTAGAAACTCGGGACCCAGCGATGGCTCAGGGGTTCCTCATGGCCCAGGTTCCTTATCAGGCCAAACACTGGGATCCATGTCAGGTCCAAGTTGTGTGTTTCCCATTCTTGTTCCTCTTTTTCCCTGTCCTGAGTCTGCCTAGCCTTTCTTAGCAATGGCCACTTCCAGCTCCTCGCCAAAGGAAAGGTAAAGGAAAGGGAAGGGGCTGTTATCTGACCCAGATTCCTGTCTCTACCCCTATTCCCTTGTGCTCCTGAGGGTGGAGTCCCCTGGCTCTGGGAACTCCACCTAGACCATGGCAAGGTCCCAAAGTTCAAAGTGGAGACAGGAATGGTCACACATTTCAGAACTTGTACTTGGAGTCTAATCTGTGAATTCTCATCTCTTCTCAAAATGTTTGATTCCCTGAGATAACACTGGGATGCTCCAAACTAAGCCACATCCTGGCAGACATTCTTCATAATTTCCTCTTTTTTTCCCCTTGAAACTAAGCATTCAATCAAGTTAGGAGTTTAGTTCAGTAAGGAAAACTATGAGAAGTCATAAGACCCCAGGGAAGCTTTTATCTGAAGTTGGTTGCCTAGAAGCTGTATAACCACCTGAAATCAATAGCCGTGTTGCTGGCAGTTGAGTCTTTCCACTTATTTCACATTGCTATTTTATTTTTATAGCTTTATTTATTTTCTGTATACGGGTGTTTGGTCTGCATGTGTGTCTGTACACTGCTCATGTATCAGATGCCCACGGAGGTCAGAAGAGAGTATTGAATCTTCTGGAACTGGAATTGCAGATGGTTGTAAGCTGCCATATGGGTGCTGGGAACTAAAGCGGGGTTCTCTGTCAGAACAACCAGTGTTACTTATGTACTTACTGATTTATTTATCTATTTTACATCTCAGCTGTAGTTTTTTTCTCCTTCTTCTCCTTCCATCCTTCCCCTTTCCCACCCCACAACCTACTCCTCCATTTCTGTTCTGGAAAGGGCAAGTCTCCCATGGATATGCACAAAACATGGCATATCAAGTTGCAGTAAGACTAAGCACCTCCCCATGTATTAAGGCTGGACAGGTGACTCAGTATGAGGAATAGAGTCCCTAAAGCCAGCAAGAGTCAGCGAGAGATCCTACTCCCACTGTTAGGAGCTCCACAAGAAGATCAAGCTACACAACTGTCACATAAATGCAATGGGCATAGCTCAGTCCCATGCAGGCTCCCTGGTTGTCAGTTCCATTTCTGTGAATCCCTATGAGCCCAGGTTAGTTGGTTCTGTGGGTTTTCTTGTGGTGCCCTTGACACCCCTGGATCCTAAGGTCCTTCCTCCCCTCGTCCGCAGGATTCCCCAAGCTCCGTCTAATGTTTGGCTGTGGGTTTCTACATCTGTTCCCATCAGTATCTGGATGAATCCTCACTGATGACGGTTGGGCTTGGCACCAATCAATGAGTATAGCAGAATATCATTAGAAATCATTTCACTGCTTTTTTTCCCTCCAGTCATGTTTGGTTCTATCCTAAGTCTCTAGGTCATCCAGTCTGTGGGTCCATGTCCCCCAGGCAGTGTTGGGGTAGTCTTACTCTCTTGGCATGGGTTTTAGGCTAGACTACTCATTGGTTGACCACTCCCTCAATCTCAAGGCTACTCTTATCCCAGCACACCCCTTAGGCAGGACAGACTGTAGGTAAAAGGTTATGTGGCTGGGTTGGTTTCCCACTCCCTTCACTCAAAGTCTTGCCTGGTTACAGGAGATGGCCAGTTCAAACTGCATATCTGCTATTGCTAGGTGTCTTAGCTGGGGTCATCCTTGTAGATTCCTGGGAGACTCCCTTGTGCCAGGTTTCCCTGACCCTGAAATGCCTCCCTTTCCAGTAGTCTCTTTCAATACTCTCCCCTTCTGCTCTCCCCAACTTGATTGCTCATGTTCCCATCCCTATGTACCCACAGTCTGCACATGAAATCTCTTCTATTTCTCCTTCCCAGGGAGATAGGGCATCTGCCTTGAACCCTCCTTGTTACCTAGTCTCTCTGGGTCTGTAGATTGTAGCATAATTGTCCTTTATTTTACAGCTGATATCCAGTCATGAATGGGGATATGCCATGTTTTCTTTCTGGGTCTGAGTTACCTCACTCAAGATTGGATCTAGACAGAGAATTCTCAACATAGGAATTTCAAATGAATGAGAAACATTTAAAGAAATGTTCAACATCCTTAGCCATCAGGGAAATGCAAAACAAAATGATGCTGAGTTTCCATCTTACACCTGTTAGAATAACTAAGATCAAAACCACAAGTGACAGCTTTTGCTGGAGAGGATGTGGAGCAAGGGCAACATTCCTCCATTGCTGGTGGGTCTTGTGAAATATTATTTTAATATGTGTTACATTTGTTTATGTTGTGGAATATTTATTTTAATGATGCAAAGATGTGGTGCATTCTTTTATATTGCATTTGTTTAACTCTGTGAGGCTGTGTTACTTTGCCTGTCTAAAACACCTGATTGGTCTAATAAAGAGCTGAGCAGCCAATAGCCAGGCAGGAGGAAGGATAGGTAGGGCTGACAGGCAGAGAGAATAAACAGAAAATAGGAAAAGGAGCAAGAAAGGAAGGAGAGGAGGACACCAGAGCCCAGCCACTCAGCTACACAACCAGCAATAGAGTAAGAAGTAAGAAAGGTATACAGAATAGAAAAAGATACAAGCTCAGAGGCCAAAGGTAGACGGGATAATTTAAGTTAAGAAAAGTTGACTAGAAACAAGCCAAGCTAAGACTGGTCATTCATAAGAAAGAATAAGCCTGTGTGTGATTTATTTGGGAGCTGGGTAGCGGGTCCCCAAAATAGCAAAGAAAAAAAAAGCAGTTGGGAGAGTAAACTTGTACAGCTGTTTGGATATCAGTATCTCAGAAAACTAGGAATCAATCTACAAGACCCAGACTCTTGGGCATGTACCCAAAGTATGCTCAATTATACTACAACGACATATGTTCATAGCAGCTTTATTTGTAATAACCAGAACCTGGAAACAGCCTAGATGTCCCTCAGCTGAGGAATGGATAACGAAAATGTGATGTATTTGCACAATGGAGTATTATCCAACAGTTAAAAACAATGACACCGTGAAATTTTCAGACCAGTATTCTTAAGTGCTGAGCCGTCTCTCCAGACCTTCAATGTTCCCATTTTAATGAAATGTTTTGGCTTTCAGTGACTCTCCTTCTCTCCCTCCCTCCCTTGCTCCCTCCCTTTCTTCTTTCTCTCTTCCCATTTCCTTCTTTACTTCCTTTCTTTGTTCCTCTCCTCCTTCCTCCCTCCCTTCCTCCTTCTCTTCCTTCCTCTTTCCCCTTCCCTCCCTTTTTTCTTACTCCCTCACTTCCCATCTGTTACTTTCTCTTTTTCTCTTCCTCATTCTCTCTCCTTCTTTCATTTCCACCTCCCCCTTCCCATTTTTTCTTTTGCTTCCTTCCTCTCTTTTTCTTTCCTTCATTCTCTTCTTCCTCTTTTCTCTCTTCTTTTAGTCGTTCCCACAACCCTTCTTTCTCTCTTGCTCCTTCCTTCCCTCCCTTCCTCTCCCTCCTACTCTCTTCCTCTCCTTCCCTTCCTCTTTCTCTCCCTTCTCTCTTCCTCTCCTTCCCTACCTCCTTCTTCCCTCCCTCTCTCCTTCCTTCCATTTCCTTTTCCCTTTCTCATTTCCCCCTTCCCTTTCCTCCTTCCCTCCCTTCCTCATTATCTTTCCTCATGCCATTCCTTTGTTTTCTCTCCTTGCCTTCTTTCCTTCTTCATCTCCGTCTTCTATTCCAGAAAAGCCTGGGGCTGAGGGTAACAGGTGCTGCCCCGAGCTCTTCCTGCCCATGTAGAGAAGTGTAAATGTTCAGTCCATTGCAGCCCTAAGAGAATGTGGCTCTCCAACCTTTTGCAGTTTTATGGCGAGTCTATCTGCATTTCACAAGTCAGTTATTACTCGTGATTGATGCTCACCTGCCAAGCCTAAACAAACGTGCAGCACACAGCCACATACCTCATACAGACACAAATATTTGCTTTTCTCACATGGCTGGGGAGAGAACGCCATTCTACCAGGGAGGAGCCTCAGCATCAGGCCCTCGACTGCAGCCTCCGTGTGGGCAAAAGACTCACTCATCCATTCTTATTTTTCTAGTTCTTTAGGGCCAGCATTCATGAAAACAGGCTGCATGGCCAGTCAGAGGAGTCTCCGTTTGGCCACCAGAGAAGATTCGGGAGGAGCCAGAGCAGATTCTTTGGCTAGCTTCTCCTTCCTCTCCCCAACCTGGCTAATGACAGGTCTTTTCCCAGGTGTATTTTTACCCTCTGGACAAATAGCAGTTGGGTCGAGTGGGGCTTTTTTTTATGAGTTGAGGTACTCACGTCTGGAAAATAAACAGGCAGCTAATGAGACGTTCTTATGGAAACCAGCATAAATAATAACAAAGCAAACATCCTGTCCCCCGTGCCAACACCCCTGGGTGAGGAGATATAAAAGCTGCTGTCCAGCTGGCCACTGTCAGACTTAGGGGAAGCTCGGCCGCGCTCCTGACCTGCGACCTGACCGGCTGGGACCATGGGGTGCTGCCCGGGAGACTGCTTCAACTGCTGCTCCCAGGAACAAGACTGCTGTGAGGAGTGTTGCTGCCAGCAGGGCTGCTGTGGTTGTTGTGGCTCTTGCTGTGGCTCCTGCTGTGGCTGTGGAGGCTCTGGCTGCGGAGGCTCTGGCTGCGGAGGCTCTGGCTGCGGATCTGGCTGCTGCGGGTCTGGCTGCGGGTCTAGCTGCTGTGGATCTGGCTGTGGGGGCTGCGGAGGCTGTGGAAGCTGCGGAAGCTGCGGAGGCTGCGGGGGCTGCGGAGGCAGTTGCTGTGGCTCGGGCTGCTGTGGCTCCGGATGCTGTGGTCCAGTGTGCTGTCAGCCCACACCTGTTTGTGAAACGAAATGAAGACCCTCCCCTCTATATCTGAGGCAGTGTTGGGGACAGCCTTGGCCTATTCAGATGGAGACCTCCTCATCTCCTGACTCCTTCATACCTCCGAGACCTACCTGCCTCTTATGCTCTTTCTGAGAGGAGAGCTTGTCCTGGTGTGTAAGGCACTCAGGACCAAAGAGCCATTTCCTGGCAGAAAATTAAAGCCGAGTTCCAATGAGCTGGTGGTCACCAGGTTGAATGTTTGCATGAAGTCAAATGCCTTGCAGCTATGAGACATTCTCTTACTCTTTGAGCCTGTTGATCCCCACCCTAGCGTTCTTCTCCTCTGAAACTTTGTCAACCTTTTAATAAATTCAAGCATGCTGGCTACCCTATCAGTCTTCCTGGCTCTTCCTTCAACCCTCCAAGGGCCCACTAGGAAGATTTGCTCCGGCATCCACCTAGGGACTGCCCAGTAGAGTTTGTACACAATACAGTATCATTTGTTGATCTCCTGCATCAGGCCTGGGAGGCTGGTTAGAACTGTAGATTCTGGAGCCGTCCCTGAAATAAGGGGTGCTGTAGGGGTGTGGCCTGGGGATCTGTGCTTTTAACAGAAACACAGGTAATTATCTGTGTGGAAGGTGAAGGTTTGGATAGACTGTAGACAGAAGCCCTTGCATGCAGTATGAGATCCACTTAGGGAGTTGTTAACCAATACCTGGGAGTCACCATTAGCTGTAGTACCCATCAGCTCTAGAATCTGGAATGCCCAAGGGCCATGTTTCTAAAAGCAGCAAGGTAAATGCTGATTTTACTGTATTTAATCCTGCTCAGGATGCATGCTTACTTTCTGTATTGTGGTTCTAGTATGATTTTGGAGGATTTCAGGCTTGGCCTGAATCTTGAGGCAAAGTCAGAGGAGGAGGTTTTGGTAAAAGAATCTTGGTGTTTTTTAATTTAATTAATTTACTTTTTTTCAATGCTAGAGATTGAATTTAGCATTCCATTTTCAAGCTAGGCAAAACCTCCATGATTGGGCTGTATCCCCAGGCCCCCCTTTCTTTTTTTTTTTTATTGTGAAACAAGGTCTCACTAAGTTGCCCTGGCTGTTCTTGAACTTGTAATTCTCCTGCCTCAGCCTTCTATGTAGCTGGCATTATAAACCCGTCCCAGGTTGGTTGTGAATGTCAGGGATTTGTGCGGCCAGACGGTGTGAATGTGTAGTGAGGGCGTTTGTGTGCTTCAGATTCTCCTTCAGCCTCATGTTCTGGTCTTGGCTTCCTCCTAGGGGGCAAAGCTTTATTTATTTTGTTTTGCTTTGTTTTTCTGTCCTGGACCCAGCTGCAGTTACTCTACTGAGAGGAAGGGAAGGCACGTGTACTGCACAAGCCTAGCCGGGAAGTTAAAACCCACATGACAGTGGATTCAACCTCTTGTTTAGAACGATTTTAAGAAACTCATGGGTTAAAATAAAATCCACTCTTGCACTGAGAGAACGGTATTTATTTTTACTTTTGCAAAGGAAAGAGAGGAATGACAGGGTCTCACTAGGTACCCCTACCTGGCCTGGAACTCCCTATGTAGGTCAGGCTGGCCTTGACCTCAGGTCTGCCAGCTTCTCTCTTCTTAGTACTGGGATTAAAGGTGTACATCACAATTCTTGCACCAAAATTCATATATATGAATGAATATATATATATATATATATATATATATATATATTTCTTAAAAGGATGCACACTAAAGGAACGCAGAGAGGAGAAGGGGCCTGCTGACGCTCAGGTTTCCTTCATGACTAGTGTCTTAGGATGCCTCCTCTTAAGCATATCCACAAGCAAAAGTGGGGGCTGCTGCGTCTACTATATTGCCTTTATTTTTTTTTCTGTCTCATTAAAAAAAAATCCACCAAAACTCAAAGTCTTTGAGAATTTCATCAATATTTATAGGTCGGTGTATTTTACTGTTCTGTAACTTAACATATGGTTGAATGTTACCATTTGTGGTACCCAGTTCGATGAGACCTGACGATTGTACATACTGTTTCTGTGATGTCGCTGCTGTGTGCAGTGCATGGCAGCGTCCACCACTCTCCAAATTCCCTGGTTCCCTCCTTCAGTAGTTCATTGTCCCCAGCCGTGCAGCTATCAGATCTTGATTTTAATGAAGCACTCTTCCGTGTCTAGAATTTCATTAGGAAAGAAATCATATGGTGTGAATTGTTCTTGCTTAGTGCCATGGCTTTGATACTTATTCAAAGAGCCAGCTTGTTTCTCTCTCTCATGTGTGTGAGTTCCTGTGTACGACTGCACATGTGTATGAGGGCGTACAAGCAGATGCGGAGGTCAGAGGGCAGCCTTGGATATATGTTCACCATTACCCTTCTGAGTCGGAGTCTTTCAATAGTCTGGAACTTCTCAAGTAGGTAGGCTGGGTGGCCAGTGAGTTCCAGGGATCCACCTCTCTCTGCCAGCTTAGCCTTGGAATTACAAGAGCTTTCTATGGGTGCTGGGTTTTTTTTTTTTTTATTAAAACATGGGTCCTGGGAATCAAACTCAGTTTCTTGTTTTTGTACAGCAAATGCTCTACTGAGCCATCTCCCCAAACTCTACTTTTTTTTAATTAAATAGCATTTCATTGTAAGGAAAGACAATATTAGAAATTCATCCATTAACTGAAAGACACTTGGGTCATTTCTCACTTTTGGTTGTTGAAAATAAAAATTTCAGGTGCACACATGTACAAGTTTTTATATAAACATGCTTTCACTTTTTTTTTGAAAAGTACCCAGGAACCATACTTTTGGGGAAATGGCAATTGAATTTTTAAACATGTAAGAAAATACCAAATTGTTGCAAAATGGCAGTATCAGTTTGTATTCCTACTAGCCATGTCTGAGAGCTCCAGTTGCTCCATGCCCTTGCTAACTCTTGGCAGTCTTTTTACTTTCAACCATTTTATATACATTTATATTTAGATATATTATATATACATATATATATTTATTTATAGCCAATTGTGCTTTCAGTTTGGGGTTTTATTATAAAAAGCATTGGGAGCATTATACCTTGCATTTAGAGGATGTGAGATTTGACTTTGCCCTGTTCCCACTTCAGACTCTGTTTTTCCAGTTACTTTTTATGTATAACTGGCCTCTTAAAAACAAACTCTCCTAGTGGAGTTCCCAGAACAAACTCACAGCTGCAGAAGGGACATGCTGCCAAGGACGGGACAATAGAACAAACCCACCCAAAGAGCGATGGCTTTGTACTGAGTCGCTGTGATTCAGAGCGACTGATCACTCCATTGCTCATAACCATGCCATCTGGATGCATGAGTAGAGGTAGTGATTTCTTTGAGGTACCAGCAAGGGTTACCCTTCTTAGCTAGACACAGAGGTTCTCATTTGTTCATTCAATAAACAGTAATTGTACACTGCTTATGTATCTGTCTTGACTCTGGGTGCCAGGCATGCAGCACTGAATAGACAAAGGCTTTGCCTTTTACGGTACCTGGATGATGCTGAAGGATGAACAGTGCTTTAAAGATGAATCAAGGAGCTTTCCGGACCTGGCCGAGCAGGAGGCGCCATCATGGGTGTTGACATCCGCCACAACAAGGACCGAAAGGTTAGGCGCAAGGAGCCCAAGAGCCAGGACATATACCTGCGGCTGCTGGTCAAGCTGTACAGGTTTCTGGCCAGGCGAACCAACTCCACCTTCAATCAGGTTGTGCTGAAAAGGTTATTTATGAGTCGCACCAACCGACCACCTCTGTCCCTCTCCCGCATGATCCGAAAGATGAAGCTTCCTGGCCGAGAAAACAAGACGGCTGTGGTTGTGGGGACGGTCACAGATGATGTGAGGATTCTCGATGTGCCCAAACTGAAGGTGTGTGCACTGCGGGTGAGCAGCCGGGCCCGAAGTCGCATCCTCAAGGCTGGGGGTAAGATCCTCACCTTTGACCAGCTGGCCTTGGAGTCTCCCAAGGGCCGTGGCACTGTGCTCCTGTCTGGACCTCGGAAGGGCCGAGAAGTGTACCGGCATTTTGGCAAGGCCCCAGGAACCCCACACAGCCATACCAAACCCTATGTCCGCTCCAAGGGCCGGAAGTTTGAACGTGCCAGAGGCAGAAGGGCCAGCCGCGGCTACAAAAACTAACCCTGGATATTACTGTTATTAAAAAAAAGCTTTGGAAAAAAAACAAAAAAAGATGAATCAAGGAAGAATGGGCCTGCATAGTTAGAAAAGCTGCCTCTTCACTCACCAGGGGAGGAGTCTTTGAGGAGAGAATATCCCAGCACAAAGGACAGTGGCCTCCCTGTCAGTTCTCATCAGAGATTTTTTTTTTTGAGTTATTATCAATTACAATTCCATCACCAGCTAACCTGAGGAAGGGAAGCACATGGAGAGGACCTATGAATGGCAGGGAGTTGATGAGCTCTCCACCTCTCTCCCTCTACAAGCTCCCCTTCCCCACAGCTCAAAAGTCATATCTCAAAGAATAATGATCCCTTCTAGTTTGAACCACAGAAACATCTAGATTCTGCTGCCTTTAAACCTCTTCTACTGGTCTAGGACAAAGAGCTGCCAGGTCCAGGTTGTCACTAGGAGGCTTTTGGGTAATTGTCCATCTCCTTATGGTCTCTCTGCATGTGAAAGTGTCCTCTTTCCCCCATCTCCATAGGCAGAGATTTCTAAAATAGGTTGATGCCTAGGTAGCCGCGGTGGTCCCATCACTGCCTCTTTCTGTCTCCTGTGCTCTTCATCCCGACTGTTGCAAACTGTATTATCAGGCGATTTCCTGAATGAAACCTGCTCTTGTGTCTTTGGTTTCTACAGACTGCCTTTTTTTTTTTTTTTGCATCCCTTGGGGGATTCTATCTGGCCATTTTATTACTTGAGAAAGCTTTCCTAACTTCCTAAAATCCATTTGAAGATGCTCCCCAGCATTCCCCAAAACTTCTTGCATATCCCTTTGTTACAGCGTTCCTCACGAGATACCACAAATGCTCATGGCTCTTTTTAACCCATACATCATGATGAAAATTTCTTTTTGTGTCACTCTTTAAATAAATTGGTATTTGCTCTTCCTGGCCACTTTCTCGACCCAGAAAAATGATGCAAATCAAGCGGTTCATATCTTTCCGTTCCCTTTAAGAACACCCATTAAACAGCCTAGGCCGTCAAAGGTGTGCATGTCTGAAATGCCACCGAGTATTGGAGAGGTGTCACT